TAGGCACGGTTGCCTTGAACCGAGCCCGAGCGCGATTATCCCCCCTCCCCACTCGTCCGCTGGCCTGGACTCACACTTGCACTAAACTTTCCGGGCCGGAGCATGCTTACGTCATGTGCGACACGGTTGCCTTGAACCGAGCCCGAGCGTGATTATCCCCCACTCCCCCGCTGGCCTGCACTCACACTTGCACTAAACATTCCGGGCTGGAGCATGCTTATGTCATGTATGAAATAACGGAGAAAACCACTTTCGCTAATATTCTGCTGAATAATTAATAATAATTAATTTATCATTTATGCCGTGCATTGATTTTCACTTGTATGTATCAGAAAATTATTACGGAGGCAGCTGATGTTAATTAAATAATTTGCAGCTTTACTCGCAAACTACATTTCCTGTTCATCAATAAGGTGAGAACCAGAGCCATTATAAACCTAAATATACTTGATTGAATTAAATTAATTGAAAAGTGTAGTGTAGTAGTATTAATAGTATATGTTTGCGGTCGTAATGATGACAGTAGCACACACAAAACAGTGTTTGATCCGTGCTCTGGCCTCTTCCAACCGGGCCAGGGACGGCTAAACGAACCGCGCCCGAGCGCAGCACGGAGAGCTCACAGTAGTCAAACGAACCGGGCTTTGGGGGTCAAACGCGCTCGGGCACGGTTCAAAACGCCTAGTGTGAGTACACCCTAAGAAATACAGCTGCTGCACATATAACATGAATAACCCCCATAAGGCATACATGATCACCCCATAGCAGATCTTATACAGGTGGAGCTGGGGAAGGAGAGGGTTTCTGAAGAGCGCTGTAACTGCTACAACAAACACTAGTCATATATTTGAATGTTGAGCAGCGAGCATTGGCTGCTGATACAAAAATGAGTTGAAAAATCAGCTGGTTCATGTGATGATGTCATTATGTCAGATTGAGTTTGACCTATCAGGCTGCGCCATCTAGAGTTTCGTGAGAGAACTTTGGATTTAGGGAGGCACGAAGAAAAGGAAGCAACCCACCTAACTTAACTACATTTTTGTGTATTAAATATAGTTTCCCAATTTGTTTTTCTAACAAGCGGTGTAGTGTGACAAAATGACTCTTTTTTTATTTCACATTACATTGTGCATGCAGCTTTACTGCCATGTGAACTGAGGTAGTGATCAAATTCTGCTGAAATGTTTTCTCCCTCACATGTTTCACTGCTAAGTCTGAATTATTTTAGAGAAACTCATTCAGATGATTCAAGTAAGCTAATAGATTTAAAACATTAAAAAAAACTTTTAAAGTTGGCCCCCTCAGTTATATCAGCACTTCACTCATTCAGAAAATAAAGTATACTTCACTTGTCCACATTATGCTCCGTCTCACAGACAGAGCATGTGACACAGTACAGTCCAATGACGTCCACAAACACATCATTTGCTCATAGCCTGGTTTTTCTGTAAACAACAGCACGTTTTTTTATGTGACACACCTTTTTTCCATTTCAGTCTCTACTAACAAGTTACGAGTTGAATTAGCTGTGTTTAATGCATAAAAGATAGCGGGACACAGAAAACGAAGCATGCCTTAAGTCTTAGATGCTTGTAACTATGTTTCAAAAGAGCAGCTGTCACTGCACTACTATATGATGAGTGGCTTGTAGCTTGGTGCAGTTTTGTAGCAGCTTTTCCAACACTATTGCTGTGTCTCATTTCAATGTTTGCGCCATCCAGAGGTCACATTTGTCAGCCGCATATCTCAATGGCTTTATATCGACACCATTTGTTTCAGTTGGAATGAAATCATTCTGATTGATGAATCAAAACAAAGTATTTACATGAATGCTAAATGAAGTGATCAGGCTGATGTGCGAGTTTATCGGATATGATCAGATATAATTTTTGATCTTTTGACATGCGCACACGGCACGAATATACAAAGTTTCCTGATGTTTGCACATACTGTTCTCCTACCATTGCTTATTTTCTTTATAAAAAGCAGAGTTTATCTGTCCTTTCGTTTGGATTAGGAAAGATCTACATGACCCCTTCCAATCTGATCGAAATTTCATTTGGATCAAGCTCCATCAAATCAATTAAAGTGTTTACATTTAGGCTTTTCGGTCCAATTGAGCCATCAATCTAATGGATTGCATGTGAATGTAGCCGTTAAGGATGTTTTATTTGAGAAAAGCAACCATTCCAAACTAAGAAAGAAATTACAGTACGCCTCACAAGGTAGAACAGTCAATTTTATAATTTTACTTGTTTGAAATGACATGTTCCATGATGTATGCAGCCAAGAAATGTGATCTTCAGAGGGCGCAGCCTTTGAAAGAAGACATCAGTTGATGGTGATGCATGGGTCATGCATCACATAACAAATAACACTTTATTTTAAGGTGTTCTTATTACACGTTACATGTACTTACTATTATAATAACACTTAATTATGCATAATTACATGCAAGTAACCCTAAGCCAAACCCTAACCATATAGTAAGTACATGTAGTTAATTAATATTACTCAGTACTTAAATGTATAATTACACTGTAACAAGGACACCTTAAAATAAAGTGCAACCAACAAATGTAACTGTAATCTGTTAGATTTACTGAGAGAAAATGTGTAATTAAATTACAGTTACTTATGAAAATGTTAAATATTACAAAGGTGATTACATCTGAATATTTTCACACACACATACAGATTTGATAGATTTCTTTCCCAAATTGCACGGACTGCTCTGAAATATGAGACACCAATGTTCCAAGAGTTTAGGACACAGAATAGGACACACGCTTATTTAATAACTGTTCTATTTCCAATTTGGTGAAAGATGCATCGAAGAAACATAGATTTGATAGATTTCTTTCCCAAATTGCACGGACTGCTCTGAAATATGAGACACCAATGTTCCAAGAGTTTAGGACACAGAATAGGACACACGCTTATTTAATAACTGTTTTATTTCCAGTTTGGTGAAAGATGCATCGAAGAAACAAATCACCACTAAACCTTTATTTTCTATAATTAAGTATTGCAAAAAGAAAAACTTCAGTGGATGTACTGTATGTATGCTTTATTTATAAGAATAAATGTTTTTTTCCAAGCCATTGTTAGATGCCAGTGTTTCCTGATCATTTTTATAAAAATTTATGCTCAGAGATCCAAAGTAAAAAGAGGTGCTAAAGTCTGATTTTGTGGTGGATGTGCTTTAAATTAAATTAATATTAAAAGTGATGGAGGATTCTGAAAGTCTGACAGTAATCAGTGTTGAGCACTACTGTAAGGTTAACCCTGCCTGCTTTAAATATTAGAAAATGATTAACAGCTGAAACATTTGTTATAAATTTAGAAGAGTAATCAAAATGATGTAATCAGTTAATAAAGTAATTGAAATAGGTACACTACTTATTACATTTTAAACAGGGTAGCTTGTAATCTGTAACCTATTACATTTCCAAAGTAACCTTCCCAACACTGATGACAGATACAGTAAAGTGAGTCTGTGTTTCTTCCACAAGGTATGTTTCTGCCATGACTACACCCAGCCGTCTGTCCCCCGTGGGGCTTCTCTCTCCGGCGACGCCCTCCTCGCCTCCCTCCGAGATGTCGGCTCCTCTGTCCAGCCTGGCGACCTCCGTTCCATCCATGGCAGCGAGTCCCTCGGGGGAGGAGGAGCGACCCCTGCTGTTCCGGACCCCGCCGATCCTGCGTGACAAATCCGGTCTGAACCAGTCAGGCCATAATCTCCGCAACTCGGCTCACTACAATCACGGCCTGGAGCTGCTCAGTCCTCCGGCCAGCCCTCTGCACACCATGGAGCAGGAGGAGAGTTCACAGCAGTACCAAAGCACAGCCGCAGCGTCCGGCCCGAACAGCTCCAGAACTCAGCCGAGCGGCCAGACGGCGCTGGAAACGGTCAGCGGCAGTAACTCAGAGAGCAGCAGCTCGGAGAGCGAGACTGAGGAGGACACGCCGTTTCTGGGCTTACAGAGCCCTCTGGCCGCTGGATCAGTTGTTGTGGACGGGCTGGAGGGCAGCAGAACTAACCCCGCGCTGCTCCTCTCACCGCAACACGACCTGCAGAGCAGACTGACGGCCATCATGGCCAACCAAGATCCTATAGCTGTGTGAAAGATGCATCGAAGAAAAAAATCACCACTAAACCTTTATTTTCTATAATTAAGTATAGCAAAAAGAAAAACGTCAACTTTTGCCATTCACATGTAGCTGAGGTCACAGTATTTCAATGGCAGAAAAAATATAATCTATGGTGCCTTTTAATTTAAATTTGAAGAAAAAAGGACAGCATCATGACACTGGGCCATATATACATGACGT